CCAACCCACAAACGTTGTTGTTCAATATTGAACCGAGTCAAAGCAAGCATAACCACAACATTTGTGTGATAATTTCCCAAAACTTGAGATTTGCTATAATTGACTGCAAAGGAATCCTATATTTGATCCATTATACCCCCTTTTTTCTTCACGATGATCTTAAGTGGTACCCCCTCTATGGATTTTAGGCAGGCTATATGCATTAGGAGGTCTAGCGTTACGTTATCACATTAGAAAAATACAAGTTTCCCTCATCTCACTATACATGGGATATGGAGGTGGCTTGGTTTTCCTTGGAATTCAAGTCCTCGCTGTGACCCAGAGGCACTCTTGGCAGAGCGGCGTAATGGTAACATGTCGAAATTATATGATCCACTACTCGGGTAATATTCAATCAAGGTGGTGTTGACGAGACTCATGCATGTGCAACATTGCGGTACATCCTTGAGGGTAATGCCTTTTGTACAGCAGGGCTAAGTCAATTTCAATGTAAGCTTAGGGCCTACTAATTTAATAATGGGAAAGTTTACCTTGTGCGACCTGAGGTGATTAGGGAACTCCTTTTCAAGATTTCTTATTTGTATAAAAAATCTACTTTATAAATCCTCTTTCGGTTTCCAGTGTGGTCTGTTCACAAATTCCTTCTAACTAACTTTTCCTTCTAAATGAAAAGTGGAGTCACACTAACTAATTAAGGGATATTTCGGAACCCAGCTCTTGTTGATGTAAACGTTTTTCCGACTGCATAAAGTATTGGGTCTCTTTCTTTCTGGCACTTGATGTATACTTTGCTGCCATTTAATGACATTATGAATGTAGTCTTTACTGCATCGCTGCCTATTTTTTAATTCTTTCCTACAATCTAGGTTTATCCATTTTTATATCCTTCTCTGTGTCGTCTTTCATTGGTATTGAGTTCTATGCAATACGCATGGTTTATAAAAGAACTTTCTTACCTTAGGTGTCATGCTTGTTTTATATACATTTGGTTTTAGGGCCCGCTTTTCGAGATCAATTATTTTTCTTAATCTGCCGCTTTGTTGCTACTCTATAAGTGCTGATGAAATCCATGCAGAATAGAATCCGTGACTTATTTTGAATGATTTAATTCTCTCTTAGTTTATGATGGTTTTATCCCTTAAAATCGCCGTGATTGGCACATTGCTTTATCACAATTATTTCCTCTTACTTTTATAATTGGACCAATGAAATTTGTCAAGTTTTAATCCCGACCTGATATTCCTCGTTCAATTCCTGTGCGATTTATCTATTATGCAATAAATTACATAATAAACCCCAGCTCCATATGATCATATTTTATTTAAGTCGTTTCTGATTGTCCGAGCGCTTTGTTCATTGTAGCATTTCACTTGCCTCTCCAAACGAAACCAAAGGTGTGCACGCATTCAACTATTCCTTTCTATTAAAATTTCGTAGTTTGATTCACATTATATTATACTAAAAATTTAGACTTTTCTCTTCTACTTAAAAGAGAAAATGGGCTTACACAGCTTTACCGCTGGAATTATCCCGTGTTTTTCTTTTGTAATTTTTTTAACAATTGGGTTGCTTCTTCCAATACGGCTAATTATTTGACCTGTTACAGCATACAAATCTCCGGCTAGCAAATTCTGGCTCGTCATCCGCTGACTTCCAGCCATATGCCCAATCAGCCTTGTCGGCACAAATTGCCAAGCTAGATTCGGATGACTCTGATGAGAATTTAGATATCTTGAGCGGAGGCCAGAACGATGAAGTCGGATCAGATTTATCTGGGCCCGAAACGAGTGAGCTCAAAAAAGTTGTAAGAGATGAGAAATTGAACATGCCAAGATTGCCTCTTGCTGATGATGCCTTGCCGGTAAAACATTCCCATAATCAGCTTCTGACCGATCACGTTGCGACAAACCTGTCGGCATCTCTCGCTA